TTTTAAGGGGAACGGGTTTTTTTCCCAGGAAAGGTAATTTCTGTTTTTTCTGCTAACCCGACTTTGTCTGGTTTTTTCGTCCCTCCCACCCAACCCTAGTGTGTGACCATCAGGGCGTAGCTTGTCGAAATGACAACCACTGTTTAGCAGCTTTGGGTAAATTTGGGCCTGTCAGACGACGATCAAATAGGATTTTTTGGTAGGAAGTGGCCTGTCGGGACGACAGTCACGTTTGTATTGTGAATGTGTGACCTGTTGAGACGACAGTCGTCTCATTTCTGAGTTTAGTAATAGTGACCTGTCGAGACGACAGTCACGAAAAAATTTTTTGGTTGCGACGGGGTTTTTTCCAGGGAAGCCCTGGTTTTTTTTGCCCTGCCCGCCAAAATGGCCGTTGAGTTAGTACATGCAGTCTCTGTAGTTAGGCTCTTTTTCGATACTCTCGAGTTCTGCACTGTTATGTGTGACCATCAGGGCGTAGCTTGTCGAAATGACAACGGGTAAATTTGGGCCTGTCAGACGACGATCAAGTAGGAATTTTTGGTAGGAAGTGGCCTGTCGGGACGACAGTCACGTTTGTATTGTGAATGTGTGACCTGTCGAGACGACAGTCGTCTCATTTTTGAGTAGTAATAGTGACCTGTCGGGACGACAGTCACGAGAAAATTGTTGGTTGCGACGGGGTTTTTTCCAGGGAAGCCCTGGTTTTTTTTGCCCTGCCCGCCAAAATGGCCGTCAAATTAGTACATGCAGTTTCTGTAGTTTAGGCTCTCTTTCGATACTCTCGAGCTCTGCACTGTTAGTATGTATACCCTTGTAGCACGATAGCAGCAGGGACAGATAACCCATAGTTGTTCTCCATTTGTATTTTTCTTTTGTAACACCCCTCGATGAGGGACAAAACGCAGGCCAGATATTATGTTAATGCTGCGATATGGTAATACCGGCCAGATAATTTTATTTTGGAATCATATCAAAAATCCCGCGCGTGCCCATCTCTAACTATGATACGTAGCCAATTATTTATGTTTCTCGAAGTTAAATTCTTATGTTAATTAAAGGCTGGTTATTTAAAATCGCGATTCTTTTATGATGCAAGCACCCTAAAACATCTAGAGTCACTACTTCTTAACAAATACCAAATAAGCGTAAAAATTCATAATAGAAAAAAACTTTTTTTTCGTAAATTTCATCTCAAATAAAGGACTGTTAAAGTTCAACACCCGGAAGTCCTAATGAAGTGTCTCTAATAATTCCACCTCAATTATTAAAAGTCTAACTTCATAAACCCGTGGCTTTATGTGGTTACTCAAAACCTTTCCAAGTCTTATAAAAACCAATTCAGCTTTAAGGTTTATAACTTATTGAGCTTAGCCTGAAAAGTGGCATGATAAAATAATTTTAATTACAACCGGTATTACTTTTTAACAGGTGGCTTAAACGCATTTAGGTAATCATTTTTCCGAAAAACATTTCCAAACTATTATAACTACTTTCCCGATTAAAGATCTTTGTTCAATTGGCATTTCTGACATAATGCTCCAAAATCATAAATATTAGTAACTGGTGTATCTAAACATAATGCAACCGCAAAGACCATTACATAAAGAGGTTAAATTATTTACCAACGCATAAAATTTAATATAATTAAACATTATATACAATCTAATTTCGATATAGTTCTTTAATTTATTATAGTAATTTAGGGCTTTATAATTTATCGCTATAGCGATGTATCGCCACCCGGATCTAAGTCAAATCTAAATCCCGAAAATCAAAATCCCGAATCTTAAATGTCGCGCCGCGTGATGTCGGGGTTTCAATATTCAAGCCCCGCCTGTGATTAGTAATATAGATTACCTGTAGGGATGTTAATCGGTCCTTTGGGATCGAATCCTAGCCGGTCCGGTCCGGTCCTTCAAGGACCGGCAGGGATTCGATCCTTAAATCACGTGAGAACTGTATAGGAATTAGATCCCGGATCGATTTTTGGATCCAGTCCCTTTAAAAATCCTAGGACCCGCTTTCGTTAAACGTTAGAACAGCCCTCTGCCTTTGGCATTAATCGCCTCTGGTACAGAATATTTTTTTTATAAGGCATACGCCTTAATTTTGAAACTTTATGGCCTCCAGTTTGAGTGTTTGGCAACATGAGGATTTTAAACTAACTTTTTAGAAGAAAAGTAAGATGTTTAAGAAGTTATCCATTTCTGGATTTAAATAAAATATAGACGATAAGTGAGTAAACTTATAGAAGCTAAATTACTGAGTATTTCACACTAAAAGAAATTTTTCAACTAACTTATCTTGTTGAGCTATAGACCACCTTGTAATAATTTGGAAATTGAAGACCAGTGTGCCTTACCATCTTTCTTGCTAATGACAAAGGCAATACGCCTTAAAGAAGTTAATCTTCTCTAGCATTGAATATATAATAAAAAGTGAATTAAGTTAACAGAAGTTAAATTACTATTAATTAAGAAATATAACTTATATTTAGTGTTTGTTTTTAAATTTCTTGGTAATAATTAAAGCATTCATTTTTTTTTGCTATCTCACTAATGACAAAGGTGATATGCCTTAAAAAAGTTAATAATTGAATATATAATAGAAGAATAAAAGATGAGTTAAGCTTATAAAAGTTAAATTACTCTTTAAATTTCATAATAATAATTAAAGATTTGTTTTAAAGTAAACCATTTTATAATGATAAGAACAAAGGTGGTATGCCTTAGAAAAGTTTATTAAAGATTCGTTTTAATTCCATAATGATAAGAACAAAGGTGATATGGTATGCCTCGAAAAAGTTTATTAAAGATTTGTTTTAAAGTAAGCCATTCTACAATAATAAAGACAAAAGTGTACCGCCTTTAAAAAGGTTATCAAAATAATGAAATAACAAAAACAAATATCCTATATGATAAAAACAAAAGCCATACGTATTAGAAAATCTGTTAAAGCCTAGGTCGAGAATAAAGTAGTTCTAGTCTCTGATTCCCCTAATTAAATTGTAGTACACTATCCTGTAATAGTCTTATATAATTAAATAATAAAGAAACAGAAGCCAGGTCTTGCTTTTTTTTTTTTTAAAAAAAAAAAAATCTGTTAAATTTTTAGTAACAAAGGTGGTATTACCTTCCTTAGTAAATAAATGCAATATATTTAAGACGAATATGTTTTAAATTTTTTTATTTAAAAGCCTTAAAAAAAAAAAATCAAAAAAAATCAAAAAAAAATCAAAAAAAAAAGACAAGCGAATTTGACTCTCTCACAGAAACAGATCAATTCGAATTCGAATTGATAAATAAAGAACCCCCTAGTTCCCCTAATAAAAAAACCTCCATAAGCGATGAAATCGCATCCATGTCCTCAGATAACACAAGCCCACAAAAAAACACAAATAAACCAAAAAAAAGAGCAAATAACCCACGAAAAACCCAGATTAAACATATACAAAACTGAGCACCTGTCAGAGATTACCTTAATGAACTTGACGTTGGAAGTAATGAATGCAAAGTATGTGAACAAGCATTCAGAAAGCAGACCGCAATATCAACCATTAATCGGCATTTTGAAGCTTTCTACTCTTCTGAATACACTATAATCAAACAGCATAAATATCAACAACTCGATCCTTATGGCCCTAATGAAAAATATAAAGTGGATAATTTAAATGATAAATTTTTAAAATAGGTGGTCGTCGACCAACAATTATTTTTATTATCCGAAAATGCAGAATTTATTAAATTTTTGCAAGAACTTGATCCCTGTTACCATCTCTCCTGTCGCCAAACACTCTCAACTTGGGTTGGTCAAGAGTATAATAAAAATAAAGATAAAATTAAATTTTTTTTAAATAAAATACAATTAAAATTTTCAATTACAATGGATGGTTGGACGTCATGTACCCAGCAGCCCTATATTGGTGTAACCGCATACTAGGTAGATTCTGAGTGGAAAATGCATCGTATCTTACTTGACATGATCCCATTTAATGAAACCCACACTGCAAACAACCAGGCCAACAAGATTATTAAACTTCTAAAAGAAATGAGCATCGGCAAAAAACTTCTAGGGATCACGACCAATAATGCTGCCAATATGCTTGTGATGGGGCGTGTTCTAAAAGAAAAAATAAACAATAAGTTTAGCAATCCAAATGTACAACATATCCGTTGTGGCGCCACGTTCTCAATATCATTGTAAAAGAAGAAATGAAATCAATAAGCAAAGAAATTTCTAAGACAAGAGATTTCTCTAAGAAAATTCAAAACTCTCCATCGCTAATTCGAAAATTAAAAAAAAATTTTGAGTTAAAAAATATTCCATTTCTAATGCCTGAAATTGATGTAGACACAAGATGAAATAGCATGTACATAATATTAGAAAAACTTCAACGAATCTGTCCCATAACTATATCCTTGTAGCGAGCAACCAAACTTTAAACCCAAATTATTCTACTGAATATGAATAGAAAATTATTTTTGTTAGTAATTTTAATTTTTTTTTAATTGTAAAATATATTTGCTTTAATTATAAGCTAATATTTT